TCTCTCTCTCTCTCTCTCTCTCTCCCTGTCTTCCTCTCTCCCTTCTCTCTCCACCCCCTCTCTCTGTCCTTCCATGTGTTTATAGGAAAATGTGCTTCAGGCTGGCACATTGCCCTTTCTGTACAGGAAGCCCTCTCGTTCAGCCTCCAGGGCTGGGACGAAGGCTTCTGGGCAGCCTGTGTCGTTAGGTTTTTATCCAGGTCTTTGATTTGGCGTTGGTTCGTGTTCACCTCCTCAAGCAGCTTCTTCTCCTTCTCCTTCCTGATCGGCCGCCTGTCCATCAACAGGCCTTGCTGTAGCAGTCCCCAGGGAGGCCTATGCATGACTTTGCCTTCGTTTTCTAGAGGTGTAGAGAATTGGGGGGGGGGGGGACTCTTGTCCTGCTCTTCCAGGCGACTCACCTATGACCCCAACCCTCAACTCAAAACAAAACCGGAAGCCAGCCCCTTTTTTCAGACGGCTTTCATTTTTTTCTGATTTTGTTGGAGTGGCAGAGCTGTGACTCGCTGGAGCTGGCCTTTTTGGGTCAGGTTCATTCCTTGCCGATCTCCGATGCCGATGTCACTTTGGCATCCTCTTTTTTTCCCCTTTGGAATGGCCAGCAATACTTTGTCTTGGGGACCATGCTCCGGCTTGTCGGAGTTTCTGGGTTGTCACCGTGGAATTTAGCAGCTTTCGGACTCTTGAAGCAGTGGATGCTAAGGGTGGGTGTTTTGCATGGGGCTCGGATGGCAGGAGCCATATAATGTACGGTAACCAGCACCAGGAAGTTGAGGCATTCCTATGACTCCTGGCTCGGGAACACCCTGGGGGGAGGGCTTAATGCTCCAGAACTTTTGGTTTCAAATCTTTTAGATAGTTTCTTTCCTCCCTCCCTCCTCGCCTCCCTCCCTCCCCCTCCCTCCCCTACCTGTGGTTTTTCTGCTCCTTCCCAATGAACTGGTCTCACCTTCTGCCTTTAATGAAACCTCCCATCAGCTGAGGAGCGGGATGTCGGTGACTCATGAAACCAGAGGCTGAGAGAGAAGTCGCACTGGAAAGAAATTCCCCAGCACCTCACACCCTCTTGCCTTTTCTAACAATAGGAAGTCCCTCCTGGCACCCACCATGCCCCCATGTTGCCTGTCTTGAGCTCCCAAGCCTCCAGGTCCTCCACAGCTGCAGTCACCCACCGACCCCGGGGAACAGGGTGAGCGAGTGGCTCTTTACGATCTACAGCCTGGGTTTGTACTCGGGAAGGATTCTTTGAGACCTGACTGTGGTTTTTAAAATGAGTGTTGGGAAATCTTTGTGTTCCTTACCCTTCAACGTCAGTTTGCATCTTGTGCTCTGGCCACCTGTAGCAATTACACAAGAAAGATGCTGAGGCTGTGAGTGCTCCCCTAAGGACCTCGGAGGCAGCGTGTCCCCTGCTAGCTTAAGTTGCTGGCACAGGCGCCATTGGCCTGCTCTGCCCTGAAGGGCTGCTTGTTGAGGGCTTCTTTCTCCCTCTGTATTTAAGACCAATGGCCTGAAGGGACTGCCTGTGTGCCGGTGTGGCCACATGTGGCCTTGGCTTTGGCTTAGCACTCTGTTCTTGTCACCTTGAAGTTCTTAATGATTTTTGAAGTAGTTCGCTTTTAGCCCTGGGCTCTACAAATAAGTCCCATGGTTCCGAAGAAGGACCATGTCAGAGAAGTGTGCTGGTGTCAGAGTGGAGGTGTGCCCATAGAAAGTTCCTAAGGGCGGGGGAGGAGGAGAAGGAGCAGGGCTGGGAGATGCAAAGGCTTTCTAAACAGGAGGAGCAGGAGGAGAGCCTGGGGATTTTTGTATGGAATTCAGGAAAAGAGAAATCCCATTAGGATGATCTGCCTACCTGTGAGGCGGTTCTGCATAGCGGGGTCCCTCAGTCCTTCGCCTGGTGGAATATGATGGCATGGCCTGTATAGCAATGCTCCAAACAGTGACCACCTTCACTCTGAGTGATGGCGTGATGTGATGTGTTTCTTGGACAAGCAGTGGGTTTTCAGTCAGTGACCCCAGCCAGGGAAGCAGAAACCATATGATCAGGTGGCATTATGGAGCCATCGATGGTCTCTCTAAAGTAGGCTGTCTGCACATACAAGTCAAGGCCAGAGGTTAATATCAGATGTCATTCCTCAGGAACTGTCATCATTTTTTTTTGTCGTCGATGTTGTTTTTGAGACAGGGTTTCTCATCGGCCTAGACCTCCGCCCTCAGGTGAAGCTGGCTGGTGAGTGAGCCCCACCCGCCCCTGCCTTCCCGGTGCTGAGATGGATTTCAAGAGTGTGCTTGGCTCTATGCTTGGCTCTTGTATGTGAGTTCTAGGGATCAAACTCAGGTCCTCATGCTTGCCACAGAAGCATGGTCTTCACTGAGCCATGGTCACTGTCTAGTTGTGCATTTCAGGGAGCAGCCCCCCTGTAAACTTTTGACCCCCACCTCTGGATTCTTTGTGTCTCTGCCAAGTCTCATTTTTCTCTGTGTCCTTGGTCAACAAGGATGCATTTGTTGGAGAAAATCCTTCAGGATGGGGCATCTTCAGGAAGTGATGATGCTGGAGATCCAGGAGCAAGAAGTCTGGCATCACTGTTGTCATGGCCACCTGCAGCCACGGCAGCATCAGTCGATGATAGTATTTTCCTTTGGGCGAGGGCATGGGAACTCTAGGGCAGAGGGCTGGATTTCAGCAGGTGCTGCAGTTCATAGCCGTCCATTCTCAGTGGTCTGAGTGGTCTCAGAGGCCTTTCTCTTGCTTTGTTCTCTACTGGGCTTTCTCAGTGCTGTGCCTCCCCCCCCCCCCACCACGGAAGGCTGTCCACTACGCAGCTAATCAGTAGTGCCTTTTGTTAATGCTCTAACAAAACCTCGCCTGTGTCTAGGCACCTTCAACACACAGGTGGTGTCCTGTGCCTCCCTTCTTACTCAGCATCATGTTTTAAGATGTGACTGTCCCTCCACGCACTTAAAACTTACTGAGATGACCCAAAGAGCTTTTGTTTATGTGGGTTAAAACTATTGATATTCACCATGCTGGAACTTAAAACAGAGGCACTTAAAATACTTATGGACTCATTTGAAAAGAGCGATGATGAACACGTTGCATGTTAGTGCAGATAACATTTTAGCATTATTGGGAAAATAGTTTTGCACTTGTAGACTCCCTTGTCTAGATAAAGGATAGTTTGTTCTGCCATATGAAAGGACTCCGTGAACAGTGAAAACTTAGAAAGTCAGTTTGGTTCTCATGGTTGTATAATACAGGTGCTGGAAAAGAAGCTATGCAATGTATCACATTTTAGCAAAATCTGCTTGGGATTGGTGGGTTTGAGTCCCTAGTTCCTAAGTGATAGCATTGCTTCTGTTTAAAAAGCCATTCTGGTTACCAGATGCTCCTTGCCTTATCAGAGTAATTTCTGGTGTTTTATGTGGGATTTGTTGTGTCCCATATATAACCCCTCAATTTTAAATGCTATATGTTCATTTTACTATTTCTTTTACAACTAGTACTACGTACAGGCTATTATAACAATCTTGAGATATTCTTTGCCCTGATAAAGAATGCAGATCAATGGTTTTTAGCACATTACCAAGGTGTGTGCTACCTTACCACTACTTTATCTCTTCGTTTAATTCTAGAACGTTTTTCCAAAGTGAGATTTCATATTCTTTCTACATCTCCAACCCAAGGAAATCCCTACTCTATGTTTTGTCTGTATGGACTGCCTATTCTGGATATTTCATGTAAATGTGATTTTATTCAGTGTGTGTGGCCTCCTAAAATTGGTTTCTTTCACACCGCATCATGATGCAGAAGTTCACCCGAGTCATTCCTGGTAGCAGTATTTGGTGCTATTTGTGATTAAATTGCACCCACTCTTAGGATGTATGTGGTATTTTGTCTCTCTGTTTACTAGTAGGTGGCAATTTAAATTGCTTTCACTTTGGGACCATGCCCAATGATGCTGTGCGCATTTGTTGCATGAGTTTTTGTGTGGGAGCTTGTCTTCAACCCTATTGGGTCTGTTTACTTTTGAATGGCCATCAATTCAATGGGTGACCACAGCTTGCTTCCCAGCACCTGTGACAATGTATTCATCCTTGACTTTGTTGTGACAGTGTTTCAGCTCTTCCTTCCCAAACTAGAGAGGGAGAATGGAAGAAACTAGCTCTTGGGATAGCTTTTGAACCTACAGCGTCCTTGGAGATTTCCTGGGGAGGGGTGGGGCTTGGAAAGGCAGAGAAATTGTTCTTTTATTGTTAGATCTGTACAAGGAGAGTTGCCAGATCCAAAGAGATGCCCAGGATTCCTCAAGTTCAACTTGTACAGACAAAATGGTGTTAAAGAAATCTGTTTAGATCTTGTATTTTTTGCTGGGAAGTCCCTGGTTAGTTACGGGAAAAAAATGTCACCACAGCTGTGAGGTCTCTGCCTACAGGTGGCTCTGTCTGTA